TTTAGGTATTTGTTACCTGGAGGTAAAACTCCATATTACAGTACCAAAATCTGTACCAATACTGAGTACAAAGAACAGTAAGGATAGAAGCTATGCATGAACCCAACAACATAGGCTCCCGCTGACTAAGTCCAAATTAGCTACTGCCACTGCCAAGTGTCCAAATGCGGAGTCAATGACTTGTCAATGCTGAATCAACAACATGATGCCATTTCTCAAGAAGACCAATTAGAATATGGATACCAAATTGGTCATATTAGATCTCTTTCATTTTTTAAAAAGATTTTATTTATTTATTTGAGACACAGAGAGAGCAAGAGGCAGAGACACAGGCAGAGGGAGAAGCAGGCTCCATACAAGGAGCCTGATGCGGGACTCGATCCCAGGACTCCAGAATCATGCTCTGGGCTGAAGACAGGCTCTAAATCACTGAGCCACCCAGGGATCCCCATTAGATCTCTTTCAAGATCAAAGGGCAGTGATTCATCTTGACTGGAATCAACCCATACTCTGGCTAAATATTTCTCTTTCTTGCCTTTTTTTTTTCTTTCTTGCCTTTATGACTCAGCTAGAATAACTGTTTAAAGACACAGAGAAACACTTGACTCACCAACATTAACTTATGAAGTGTTATGACACTTCATTGAACCAAAGAAGACATGTAGTGTGAAAAAAAGGCATGGCAGTGGGTTCATGACAACCAGATCCCCTGGTTCAAATTCACAGTCTACCACACAGAAGCTGTCAGTACCACAGAGCAATGGGATAGCTTTGTTCAATTTAAAGTGCACCAAGTCTGGCTATTGTGGACATGGCTGCTATAAACATTGGGGTGCAGGTGTCTCGGCTTTTCGCTGCATCTGTATCTTTGGGGTAAATCCCTAGTAGTGCAATTGCTGGGTCATAGGGTAGCTCTATTTTTAACTCTTTGAGGAACCTCCACACAGTTTTCCAGAGTGGCTGTACCAGTTCACATTCCCAACAACAGTGCAAGAGGGTTCCCCTTTCTCCACATGATGAGCACTAAGGGGGGCACTTGACAGGATGAGCACTAGGTGTTCTACTATATGTTGGCAAATCTAACTCCAATAAAAAATAAATAAATAAATAAATAAAGTGCACCAAGGACCCAGCTAGGAGATGATACTATGCAAAAACTGGAAATTATTTCCAAATTGAATTACATACCCTAAATCAATGACCACTTTATGGTTTTTTATTTTCCATAGGTAGAATAAACGGTTCTGGGAACAAAATGGAACAAGTTTACCAAATTCCTAGTACTCCACTTGGGGTTTTGTTCCCTTTGTCCCTGCAAATCAGGGTAGGTATATGATCACTGAAGTCCTGAGAAATGGAGACATTTCCACCAGGAAACACAGGAAGAGCATCATATATTAAGTTATGCCTATCCCTCTGTCATGTCAGTTTCCTGGGCTAGGAGGCCAGCACTCAAGGAAAAGAGTCATCAACTGGACTGGATTAACAAACCCTCAGCATCAGCAGGAGGTACAGCTGATCTTTCTAGTATACTTACATATTCTTTTCCTCCAAAGTAGTCCCACTGGGGTATCTCATGGTACTTCCTTGCCCAACTTTGATGGTAAAGGGACATGGGAACTTGCCAGCACCTGAAAAGAGAAGATCTGACCTCTCAAACATTAGGGCACTCCTCCTGGTGTGAGTCTTAGACCAGGACTGTAAGGGGTACCTAGAATATGTTATAGCAGAGGGAGAGAGAAAGAATGAGAGAGAAAGAATGAATAACACTCATAGAGCTGAGATTAGCTGCAATGGTGGCATCCATAGTTTACAGACTAATTTCCTCTTGCAAGTTTTCCCTGAAGGAGTTATTCTGTGGTGATTGAATTTATTACATATATCATGCACGTTGACTCAGCACAAGAGTTGGGCAGTGCTGGTAGTTATGGTATACCGCCTAGATACCCCGAACTGCTGGGAGTTTTGACAGATGGTACTCATGGCAGGATTTATCTCTTGGAGTTGGCCTTGGTCAAAGCAGGGTATACGTTCAATATTACACCCCAGGGACACCGCCTATGTCCAATCATTGGTCAATGTGGGGTTGCAATGGCTTGTTCTGTAACCGAGTCACAGAGTGACTTAGAGTCACTCTTCACAGAGTGAAGAGTCAAGCTTGCCTTAAAAAGAGCAAACTTCTAGCTGTAAATAAGCAAAAAGTAAATAAAATAAACTTCCAGCTATAAAATAACTATTTTGCAAATAGAACTGGTGGATAGTGAGTAAGGAAGAAAATAATTACAACTAAAATATTTTTTTCAACAAATTATTACCCTTTCAAAAGTATAGCTGTTGCTGACATTTGAGTGCTCTTACCATTAAGGAAAACTGGTGCCACTGTTCTGACAATGAAATCTTGTTCATTTCATGAATGCAGCTGGGCAGAATCTAATCTTTGGTTCATAAATCAATGTTGTCAAAGGAATGAATAAAGTAGAAAGTAACTTTGAATAAATAACACAATTTCATTCTATGTGGTGTGATCTATCATGACCAATCAGAATTTTTCTAGTTTTCTTTGCACAGGATGTTATGTATTCTGGCTAATTTTCTAAAAGCAAGCATTTAAATCTTACTAACTAAAGTTATACATCAATTTTTAATGCACTAAGATTTTTTCTCAGTCATCTATCAAAATGACTTTAATTATATACTTACATGGTACAGAAGCTGGATTACTTCTGAACAGAGGACTACTTTCACATGAATACTATTACAAGCGTTTAGGAGTTTATGTTGTAGGAGGTATTCTTAGAGGTAATAATGAATAATCTAATATTACAAATTTAGGGATTATTTAACTTTTCAAATGCTGTTAATCATCTCTAAAAATCTAGTGGAAACATTTGGTCTAAGTCAGGCCATTAGGGTCGGATTTATTTCAATGCCACTGAGCAAACAATTGCATTTACTTTAAGTAAACTGCAAAAATTGCCAAATCTACTGTTTGTATTGTTGAACAAAATACGTTGTAGTCGTCAACTTTGAATTTCACATGGGCTGTTTTTTGTTTGTTTGTTTATGCTTCTGGAACTCAGTCTAGCAAAATTAAAGGAAAAGACTTCAGGTTTCTGCTCTGACATTAAAGGCTATAAAAAAAAGGCTATGGGGATCCCTGGGTGGCGCAGCGGTTTGGCGCCTGCCTTTGGCCCAGGGCGCGATCCTGGAGACCCGGGATCGAGTCCCACGTCGGGCTCCCAGTGCATGGAGCCTGCTTCTCCCTCTGCCTGTGTCTCTGCCTCTCTCTCTCTCTCTGTGACTATCATAAATAAATAAAAATTAAAAAAAATTAAAAAAAGGCTATGAAAGATGCCATTTGTATCATAAAAAAACTACATAAATGAAAACAACTATTCCTAGATCCATAAGAGAATTGAGGTCAAAGAGCACCCACCATCCCCCCAAACTGGAGAGACAGAAAGTTATATAGAATCACAGCTTATCAGGAGCAGAAGCACCCTGTGTAGAGCTGGCAGGAGCATTTAAACCCCAATTGAAAAACTACCACAGTCTCAGTGTAGACTAGTTTGGGATTTAAAAGCTCTGGGACTGTGAAGCTCCCACACATTAAAGGGGCCCCACCAAGTTCTCCTTGTGCAGATTAAAATAAAATGCCTTTTTTTCAAGAGGAAGAGAAACAAAACAAACATTTTGAAATATATCCAGAGTAACTGCTCTTGGCTCTACTCTCTGTAAAGAAAGGGGTCCTGAAGAGAAACTAGGTTACAAAGCTTTATCTGATGTGGAAAAAGGCAATCAACCAGCTTCAGCCCCTCTAGCCTTTCAATCTCATATAAAAGGAGAGAAAAAGAAAAAACAACAACAACAACAACAATGAAACTCATCTGAAGATCACAGCATAGGGACTCCCCCTGCCCCCAACAAGGAAAAAGAAATAAAGAAATGTATTCATAATAGTATGTAATGTTCTCCTTCCCTGATATCCAGCCATCACATCAGCAGGGTTCTGGGACAATAAACAGCAGATTACCAGGGAGACACAGATTCCATATAAGGGGTTTCTAGGAGATTCCATATAAGAATACCCAAAGGCATTAAGAGAGAAAGACAAAGCTAAACAAAACCAACTATGCTACAGGAGATTGAAGCCTCTGGCACATACAGATACAGAAAACATTATTACAGCCTATCATCTAGCCAGATAGACATTAAATCTCACACTAAAAGCCTTTTTGCCTCAATCTGACTATCTGATGCATCAAAGACAGAGTGAACCTCAGAAACAGACACAGAGAGGGCATCGATTTTAGAATTTTAAGACCAGGAATTTAAAATAACTGAGATTCACATGCTAAGGGCTCTAATGAAAAAAGCAGGCAATATGCTGGAATCGACAGATGCTATCTGCAGAGAGCAGGAAACTTTAAGAAGCAATAGAATGGCAATGCTGGAAATTAGAAACTCTATAATGGAACTGATGAATGTCTTTGATGAGCTCAACAGCAGCCTGGGCATGGCAAAGTAAAGAATCCGTAACTTGAAGGCTGGTTAATAAAAACCTTCCAAATTAAATGCAAAGTGAAAATAGAATTTTAAAATGTAATAGAATAGCCGGTAACTGTGAGACAGCAGCAAACAGTATTAGTATTACCGTAACGGGAATGCCAAGAGAGAAGAATGAGGGAAAGGACCAGCAGAAACTTGACAGTAACGGTGGCTGAGCATCTTCCCAAATTAAGGACAAAGACCACATCAAAATCCATGGAAAGGCACTAAGAAGATTGATTTCTTTCCAAAAGAGACACACGCCTCCAGGCAGAAATGGTATCATTGGTTGCCAGAGTTCAGGTCCAGGTAATCAGGATTGCATGTTAATAGTTAATAGAACTGTTTTTTTGGGGAGATGATGAAAATGTTCTAAAATTAGGTAATCATTACGGTTTCTGAGTTTTCCCAGATATTAGACTTAGCAGAAAAATTACTCCAAAGCAGCTATTTACATATGTTCACAAAATGCGTTTGAGAATGAAAGAAAGGAATGGGAATAATGACGTGTCAAATAGGATCTGTCAATAGAGAGAATACGTGACCTGGAACATAAAATTGCTGCAGTGCTCAATGGAAGTGTCACCAACCTCAATGGTAGGTTTGAAATGGCAGCAAAACAGAATGTTCGAACAAGAAGCTGGGGCAAGAGGGGTTATGTTATAGGAAGAGCAGAAAGAAAACACACTAGGGAATTTCCAAGACAGTGTAAAGGCCTTTAAGGAATACAATAGTAGCCTTTTCAGATTGGCTTTTTTGATTTAATAATTTATGTGTATGGCTCATCCATGTCTTTTCCTCTCTTGATAGCTCATTATTTCCCCTTGTTTTCTTTTTTTATGGCAATATCCCCTTGTCTGGAAGGATCACAGTTTATTTATCCATTCACCCATGGAATGTCCATTGTGACCAGATTTTGGCCGTGATGAAGAAAGCTGCTATGCACACCTGTGGGCAGGGTTTTAAGTGGACGTAAGTTTTCAACTTACTTGGGTAAATAAGCATGGTTGTTTCCACATTTTCTCATCAATTCCTCTTTAGCACATTGTGCATTTGTCATGTATATGTTTTATGTCAGAGTGTCATTATTTATGTTCATTTGTCACCCACTGAAGGATAAGACCCTGAAAGATTTTGTCTTATCCATTGCTGTATTCCTAGCATGGAAAAGGCTCTTACCAACGTTGTCTGAAGGAATCAATAAACCTATGAAAGTAAATCTCTTAAGGAGCTTATCACTGGCTTAGCCTCTGCCCTTTGTCACTACCTACTCTGCCTGCATTTCGAGTTACTTATTTTTAGTGTGAATTCAGTTTGATTTGAAGTGGAGCAGAATGTCACTTTCCACAAGGGAAGGATTACACCATATTTCACTCGCTTTAGTTTACTCAGGGTTATTTGCATTAACTCTTTTAACTAAAATTCAGTACTAGGGACCCCTGGGTGGCTCAGTGGTTGAGCGTCTGCCTTTGGCTCAGGTGGAGTCTCACATAAGGCTCCCCACAGGGAGCCTGCTTCTACCTCTCCCTATGTCTCTGCCTCTCTCATGAATAAATAAATAAAATCTTAAAAAAAAATCAATACTAAACAAGCCTAGCACTAACCTTCTGTACTTTTCACAGGAAAATCAAAAACAGTTCACTTTTGAGTCTTACAAGCAACACATTTTGCAAAGAACTGTGTTCCATGTAGTGGGTTTATTTTATTTTATTTACAGACGTGGGGATCAAAGTCCAGTGCCACTGCAGGGCACTGCTGATGATAAGAATTTTCACAAAGTACACCTTTAAATAGTGCTGGTTGTCAACTGCTGGAAGCATCTCAGCAAAATACTCCTCTGTGACTTTAAAGTAAACGAATACTCACCTGATCCCCAAACAATTTGGAGAAACAGCTTCCGTGACCCTGCTGCAGAGCTGAGGTGGGACCCATTGAGGCAAAAGTGGGGTTAGGATCAACACACACTTGGAGTGACATAGTGAATGGAGACCTTTCTCCCTTTGAACTTTTCTAAATAAAATCATTTTGCTTTCCACCAGGGATCATTTGTTCAGCCTTGATGGCCTTTCAGGACCTCCTGGATCAAGTTGGAGCCCTGGGAAGATTCCAGATCCTTCAGATGGTTTTCCTTTGTATCTCCAACCTCATAGCGTACCCTCATGTTCTATTAGAGAACTTCACTGCAGCTAGCCCTGGTCACCGTTGCTGGGTCCACGTCCTCGACAATGACACTGTCTCTGCTAATGGCACTGGGATTCTCAGCCAAGATGCCCTCCTGAGAATCTCCATCCCACTGGACTCAAACTTGAGGCCAGAGAAATGTCGTCGCTTCATCCATCCCCAGTGGCAGCTCCTTCCCCTGAATGGGACCTTCTTCAACATGAGTGAGCGGGACACGGAGCCCTGCGTGGATGGCTGGGTGTACGACCAAAGCTCCTTTCCCTCCACCATCGTGACTAAGGTAAGAGCTTCCGTTTACCTCTTGTGAGCACACAGTCTGGGTGTTTAGAGGCAGTACAAATAATGAGTTTGCTTCAAGCCTTTAATCACTATATAGGTGTTCATTCTTCATTATTTAAGCAAACATTTGTTATGTCTTTATTAAATACCACTAATCTACATTTTAATGAGTCTAATGAACTAAAAGGTACTTGTGACCTTGCAATTATGTGGCTTTTATTCTTAGAAGACCAAATTTTAAGCAAGTGACTTACATAATGCATTAAAAATGTTACACTTGCAAATTAGAAACATCTGGGATATTGATCAAAACTTCCAAGCACAGACTGTGCTCCCTGAGCAGCCATAGGAGATCTGCGGTAAATGTTTAAAGTTTCTCAAATGATTGCATTCTGCGGCCAAGGTTGAGAATCACTTCATATGAAATAAACCAAGCCATTAATATAGCCTACAGGCTTAAATGAGTCCTCCTAAAGGAATTTGTTTGCTTTTTAAAGATTTTATTTATTCATGAGAGATACGACAAGAGAGGCAGAGACATAGGCAGAGGGAGAAGCAGGCTCCCTGTGGGGAGCCTGATGTGGGATTTGATCCCAGGACTGCGGGATCACTCCCCGAGCCAAAGGCAGATGCTCAAAAACTGAGCCACCCAGGTGCCCCTCCTTGAGATTTGTACTTAAGCTGATACCTGAATGATAAAGTCAGCTAATGCAAAAAATAAAAATAAATTTAAAAAATTTAAAAAGGAAGTTAAAGAAGAAGAAGGGGGCCCGGTATAAACAAACTTGTAAGTCATTTAAGCTGTTTCAATCAGGTTTCCACTGAGGGGCTATAAGCTGCTATGCAGCGCTCCTTTGCTGGTTTCCTTCTCTTCCAGTGGGACCTGGTCTGTGAATCTCAGTCACTGAAATCAATGGCCAAATTCTTATTCATGACTGGAATGCTGGTGGGAGGCATCATATTTGGCCATTTATCAGACAGGTGAGTGTCTCTGGATCACTGGGGTATTTTGTTGAACTAACAAATTAAAAATTTGAAGACACAGACACATAAAACCGTGTTGCTGACTTTGGCCAGAGAACCACGTGTTCAGTCCCTCCTGGACCCTGTGAGCTGAATGCTTATGTATTTCCAGAGATTAGTCATCATGTCCCGTTTCCCAAGTGTGATGGGTAGGCATTCCTATTAAACTTTGGTGTCCATAGCAAAGTGTCTTGATGATGTAGAGAAAAAACTTTTTCCAGTGACCTTGATTTTTGTTTTTGCAAAAACGGCGCTTTAAAAGTATCTTTTCAACCACACAATTAATCTAATGACAACTACTGTCACCACTTGTGATGTTAGAAATTGGAGTATCCTATGCCTGGCAATACCATTTCTGAATTAGACAGCCAATTGCCAGCACCAAACAGGTCTCCTCTGAGGGTTATGGGAAATAAGGCTCCCCTTATCGCCTACCAGCACAATGTCATCTGTTATATCAGCTCAAAAATGTGAACTCTAAAGGTATGATGGTAAATGTGTTGTGCCCAAGATCGCGAATCTGAGAAACCACCGAGGAGCCGACACCGATGCAAACACACGAGGGTTTATTTACAAGCTCGAGCTTGGGTCCAAGTATACCCCACGCAGCGGGGCAGGGACTTGGACCCCAGACTAAGAGGCGTAGCAGCTTTATAGGGGCCAGTGGCCAATGGGATACGCAGAAAGTTGCACAGTCATGTGGGTCCACACGCAGGTGGCCGATTGAATTACACCTTAGCCTCTAGTATCCACTTGAGCTGGCCTAGTACTGTGGTCAGAATCGGCGCGCAGTTTTGGGGGGCACAAGGCAGGGTTACATTGTTAGGAGCCGATTTCCGATTAGGGTGTGCCCAGCGGCTTGACTAGGGTGGGGCAGCGCCTTAAGCAATAAGCAGGTCATGTGGGGGTGATACAGGAGGAGGCGGGTGTAGCACAAAATGGTGTTGGTCATGCTCTGCTTGTCCAAGGGTAGGGGATTTTTGTTAAATTTCCTGGGTCCCACATTGATGACTTAAATACAAGAGCTAAGACCATAAAAACTCTTCAAAGAAAATCGAGGGTGAATCTATATGACTTTGGGTTCAGCAATGAATTCTTTGATATGTCACCAAAAGCATGAGTGACAGGGATCCCTGGGTGGTGCAGCGGTTTAACGCCTGCCTTTAGCCCAGGGCGCGATCCTCGAGACCCAGGATCGAATCCCACGTCAGGCTCCCGGTGCATGGGGCCTGCTTCTCCCTCTGCCTATGTCTCTGCCTCTCTCTCTCTCTCTCTCTGTGTGTGACTATCATAAGTAAATAAAAATTTTAAAAAAAGTATGAGTGACAAAAAAAATCGATGGACTGGTCTTCATCCAAAATTAAAAACTTTTGTACATCAAAGCACATTATCAAGAAAGTGAAGTGATAACCTATATAATGAGAGAAAATATTTGTAAATTATATGTAAGCCATAAAAATAGGCAAATAGACCAATGAAATGGGTTTAATATTCAGAATATATAAAGAATTTCCACTCTCAACAACAGAAAGACAAAAAAGAAACACCAATTTTTAAATGAACAAAGGACTTAAATGTACATTTCTTTAAAAAAGACATACAAATATCTTCTCCCATTCTGTAGGTTGTCTTTTTTTTTAATTTTTTTTTTTTTATGATAGTCACACAGATAGAGAGAGAGGCAGAGACACAGGCAGAGGGAGAAACAGGCTCCATGCACCGGGAGCCTGACGTGGGATTCGATCCCGGGTCTCCAGGATCGCGCCCTGGGCCAAAGGCAGGCGCCAAACCGCAGCGCCACCCAGGGATCCCTGTAGGTTGTCTTTTAGTTTTGTTGACTGTATCCTTTGCTGTGCAAAAGCTTCTTATCTTAATGAAGTCCCAATAGTTCATTTTTGCTTTTGTTTCTTTTGCCTTCGTGGATGTATCTTGCAAGAAGTTACTGTGGCCGAGTTCAAAAAGGGTGTTGCCTGTGTTCTCCTCTAGGATTTTGATGGAATCTTGTCTCACATTTAAATCTTTCATCCATTTTGAGTTTATCTTTGTGTATGGTGAAAGAGAGTGGTCTAGTTTCATTCTTCTGCACGTGGATGTCCAATTTTCCCAGCACCATTTATTGAAGAGACTGTCTTTCTTCCAATGGATAGTCTTTCCTCCTTTATCGAATATTAGTTGACCATAAAGTTCAGGGTCCACTTCTGGGTTCTCTATTCTGTTCCATTGATCTATGTGTCTGTTTTTGTGCCAGTACCACACTGTCTTGATGACCACAGCTTTGTAGTACAACCTGAAATCTGGCATTGTGATGCCCCCAGATATGGTTTTCTTTTTTAAAATTCCCCTGGCTATTCGGGGTCTTTTCTGATTCCACACAAATCTTAAAATAATTTGTTCTCTCTGAAGAAAGTCCATGGTATTTTGATAGGGATTGCATTAAACGTGTAAATTGCCCTGGGTAACATTGACATTTTCACAATATTAATTCTGCCAATCTGGAAAACTGTGTGGAGGTTCCTCAAAGAGTTAAAAATAGACCTGCCCTACCACCCAGCAATTGCACTGTTGGGGATTTACCCCAAAGATACAGATGCAATGAAACACCGGGACACCTGCACCCCAATGTTTATGGCAGCAATGTCCACAAAGGCCAAACTGTGGAAGGAGCCTCGGCGTCCATCGAAAGATGAATGGATAAAGAAGATGTGGTCTATGTATACAATGGAATATTACTCAGCCATAAGAAATGACAAATACCCACCATTTGCTTCAATATGGATGGAACTGGATGGTATTATGCTGAGTGAAGTAAGTCAATCAGAGAAGGACAAACATTATATGTTCTCATTCATTTGGGGAATATGAATAATAGTGGAAGGGAATATAAGGGAAGGGAGAAGAAACGTGTGGGAAATATCAGAAAGGGAGACAGAACATAAAGACTCCTAACTCTGGGAGACGAACTAGGGGTGGTGGAAGGGGAGGTGGGGTGGAGGTGGATGGTTGACGGGCACTGAGGGGGGCACTTGATGGGATGAGCACTGGGTGTTAGTCTGTATGTTGGTAAATTGAACACCAATAAAAAATAAATTTATTAAAAAATAAAAATAAAAAAATAAAAAAGACATACAAATGGTACATAAGCACGTGAAAAAAATGCTCAACATCATGATATTGAAAACAATGTAAGTCAAAGCCACAGTGAAATACCACTTCATACCTACTAGAGTGGCTATAATACAACAAAACAAGATGGGAAATAACATGCATTCACAGGGGTGTAGAGAAATTCGAAGTCTGCTGACAGAAAGATAAGATGGTGCCATCACTATGAAAAATATTTTGGAAATTCTTCAAAAAATAAGTGCAGAAAAAAAAATTAAGTGCAGAGAAACCATTTGGCCTAACAATTCCATTGCTAGGTATAAAACTAAAAGAATTGAAAAAGGAACTCAAACAGATATTTATAGATATGGATGAACCATGAAAACATTATGCAGAGTGAACTAAGATAAACAAAACAGGACATATATTATATTCACTTATATGAAATATTTAGAATAGGCAGATTCATAGAGAAAAAGATAGAGATATCAGAGGGTAGGGAAAAGAGGACTGGAACATTATTGCCTAATGGACACACAATTTCTGTTGAGGATTTTGAAGTTTTGGCAGTGGATAGTGGCGATGGTTACACAGCATTGTGAATGTAACTAATGCCAGTGGAAATGGCATTAATTAAATATGGTGAAATGGCTAATTAAATTTCCATATTATACTGCAATGAAAAAGGAACAAAATCAAGGGAATTAGAAGACAAGTCACACACCAGGAAAAAATATACTTGCAAAAAGGGTTGTTATCCAAAATAAAATCTTTAAAATTCAACAGTAAGAAAACAAACAACCCAATTAAAAAATGAGCAAAAGACTTGAATAGACACCAAAGAAGTTATACAGATAGCAAATAAACATACATATATATGGTATTAGGGAATTGCAAATTAAAACAACAATGTGATACCACTACACACCTATTAAAATAGCAAAAAACTAAAACACTGTCAACATAAATGCCAGTGGAAATGTGGAACAACAGGAATTCTCATTTATTGCTGGTAGGTATGCAAAATTGTACAGTGACTTCTGAAGTTTCTTAAAAATTTTTTTCCTTTAAAAATGTACTTATATTTATTTTTAATTGAGGGGCAATTAACATATAGCATTATATTAGTTTTAGGTGTATAGCATAATGATTTGCTATTTGTATGTATTGTGAAATGATCACCATGATAAGTCTCATTAACATCTGTCACCAAACACAGTTACAGAAGTTTCTTTTCTTGTGAGGTGAACTGTTAATATCTATCCTCAGGAATTTTCAAATATGCAATACAGTATTATTAACCAAAATCTCCATGCCGTAAGTCACATTTCCAGGACTTACTTATTTTATTGTTAGAGGTTTATACCTTTTGACTTCCTTCACTCATTTTTCCCACCCACCCCCACCCACCATTCTGTTCTCTGTATCTACAAGCTTGGTTTTGTTGTTGTTGTTTCCTTGTTTTGTTTTTTAGATTCCACATATGAATGAGATCATAGGGTATTTGTCTTTCTCTGTCAGACTTCTCCCCCTTAGCATAATACCCTCACAGTCCATCCATATAATTGCAAATAACAAGATTTTTTGTGTGTGTGGCTAAATAGTATTCCATTGTATGTGTGTGTATATGAGTGTGTGTGTGTGTGTGTGTGTGTGTGTGTGTGTATGCCACATCTTTATCCATTCAACCATTGATGGACACTTAGGTTGTTTCCACATTTTGACTATTGTAACAATGCTGCATCTCATTCTTTTTTTAGCTGCTATGGCAGCTCATTGTACAGAAACTATGTTTTCTTTCTTTTTTTAATTTCAAGTTAAAATTTTTTTTATTTAAATTCAACTTATTTAACATA